CCCAAGTTTAATGATAAACACGATGACAAACTTTTCACTCGTTAACTTCCTTAACGTATGCAGCAATACACCTTTATCACCTGTGTATGGGTGTAGATCTGTCAGTTGACTCGATACGCAAGGCCATGCTCTATGTATGAACAATTTCTAAAACGAGACAAGTTATTGACAAACAAGTTGATTTCACAAGAATATCAGCAGTCCCGTTTAAATTCATCTTTTCGTAAGATCTATGGTCTATACGATGACATTGTCAGCAAATACAAATTATCATTAAGATAAAATGCTGCATCTTTTCGTAAGATCTATGGTCTACACGATGACATTGTCAGCAAATACAAATGAACTTTAAGATAAAATGCTGATTGACGTTTTTCATACTAATTGTTTGACCATAACCAACACAGAATTGTTGATTTTTTCTAGTTATTTCCCGATCATGACAAGGATTACGAAGCTGGTGTGACCGGTCGGTAGGAGATGCAGTCAATCCTCCATGGCACCCGATGTTATGGAAGCCTGTGTCTTCTCTGCTCCTGGTTTATATTCTTTGAATGGACTTTTAAGCTTTTTCTATTCACACAACATTTTATACATACATGTATCATTATATCAAATTTCAAAAGAACAGATGTGGGGTTTTTTTATTTTAAGAGAGAGAGAGAGGGGGGTTGGTGGGTTAAAGTTAAGAGAACAGCAGAATTCACCTGTTCCACTGGGTATCAATCTTTTCCTTTTTACCATTCTTTTAAGAAATAAATTTTTGTGTTTCATAATGAAATTTCATTTGTGATATTGCATTTTGTACATTGATAGGTTTCTTTGTGCACCTTGCAGTATAAATATAATATATATGCCAAAGAAGAATAGCATTTTGAATATCATTATTTTCATCCATAAATCCTAAAATAAAAGATTTCTTACCAGCACTTATCGTTAGACCAGTCGTATGTTCAAACAAACGCACAAATTCTTTTAGAAAAAGTTGTGTATTATCGCATTACCATAGCAAAAGTTCTATTGTTTCCTCTTCAGTATGACAAAAACTGCATAATTTACATTCATTGTTTTTATTTTGAATAAGAATGAATTAGTTGCTTGAACTTTTGAGCTTTAAGGACCCTCTCTTCACCAGTTGAAATGTTTTTTGGACATTGAGAAAAAATATATTCTATAAAGGCGTTAACATTAAGCTTCCTTAATTAATTTTCCCTGTATGGTACGTGATATTTCCATTTGTACCCCCAGGAAAAATCAAACAGAACACAGTAGCAGTGAATAGAAATCACTGTTGTTTACTTCCATAGAAAAAAATGCATGTAAATAACATGTTCAATTAATTTATCTTGGCCTTTTAAAATGTTAAGAATACTTGAACTGATTAAAAATTATGTAATAATACCGTGTATACTGTGAATTTCTATTATTTTTTTTTTTTAGAATTTAGATGTAAGGGCAGATCACTCTAAATGCAAAAATACCACAGAATCAGAACTCTTTGGTGTGCAGTGTAGAAAGGGTTCTTAATTCTGTTCGTTACCTCCATATATTTAATTAAGTTAAAGTTCTCTTGAATAAATATGCATTTGAGCGATAATTTTTTTGTTTATAAATTTCCAAATTTCATAAAATGTCAAATAAAATTTTAAAGAAAGATCAAAACCATTTTGTCTCCATGGCAACATGTACATCACGTTCTGATTTTAAAAAAAATTATTTCATAAGGTTTGAAAGATTTATTTAAAGCCGCTTAACCCGAAACAGGCACATATTATCTTACACAATAAAAGTACGTCATTGCATAGATTATATATAAAAATAAATTATATTATAAGATTGATTTAATAGTTTATTACAACAATCCTTACATGGAAAACGCAGATCAAAAACCTTATTGACAAACAGTAGTTCCTGACGGAAGTTAAGATCTGTTGTGAAGTCAATTGTGAAAAAAATAAGTTTATCGGATATATCTAATAATGAAGGTAATTCAAACCCGAGTATTTTTTTCTCTATTAGTAGAAGCCTTAGTCATAATACATCTTTTCAAAATTAAGAAATTAATTGAATATAATCCATAGTAATTTTTATATTAATATGCATATTTAAAGAATAAAGGAAAATCAGATATTTTAAATGATTTTTTTAAAGGAGCTAAAATATTGTCCGTGTACAGGTAATATATGTACTTTGTTGTGAAAATTGCTCGGGTTTGTTCTTCATGAGATAAACATGTAAGCGATAAATTTAATTTTTCGAAGGTGATTTCACGCGATATCAACAATGATCAACACAGGATTATTTTTTTGTGTGACCTAACAAAAATTATTTTTTTAACTTTTGAATTTTGATATCTTTTAAAAGAAAAAGACTTTGGGGATATAATTTGACAAAAGTTGAAAAAATTTATGGACAATTATTTTTCAAGAGGAAAAACGAATACATATTTTTAGCGTTTAGAATCGGACCAAGCGGCTTTAAGGAATATTTTTAAGTTTTGTGTGAGTTATTGGTGTGTGAATCACACAGACTTTTTACGTAGACATATTTCATGAAGCGCGATTCACACACCAATAATTCACACTAAACTGAAAAACATTCCTTATATTTGCATTTAACATGTTTGGGAGCAACTAAAATATGCTAAATATTTGAATTTCTCGCTGCCCTATATGGTTGCATTTTTACTAACGTCGCTTCAGCCTCATTGTGACGTCACGTTAACGCAAGTTTCTCCGTGTATATTTCTACGCGAGTTTACACGAAAATGGTTTTCAAATCAATTTCACAGGTGGCTTAGTAGAAAAACACAGCGAATGTAAATATTTGGAAGTACATGTATGTTTCTTCCTTATACTGTACTTTATCTTCAAACTACATTAATGTAGATCTTTTGTGTTACTTTAGCAACACTGACATTTTTAGCTCTACTGGTCAGAGACCAGAAGAGCTTATGCGATGGTAATGCGTCAGTCGTCCGTCCGTCTGTCTGTCTGTTTGTAAACAATTTTCCAAAATGCTACTCCTCCTACAATTTTGGTCCGATTTCAATATAACTTGGCACACAAGTAGACTACACTAAGATACAAAATTCTGTGCATCGGTTTTTGATTTCGATGAACGGTGTTGCCATGGTTACTAAAAATAGAAAATTTCTGTGAAATTCTTTCAAAATGCTACTTCTACTACAGTTTTGGTCTGATTTCAGTATAACTTGGCACACAAGTAGACTACACTAAGATACATAAAATAGTGCATCGGTTTTTGATTTCAATGAACGGTGTTGCCATGGTTACTAAAAATAGAAATTTCTGTGAAATTGTTTCAAATGCTACTCCTCCTACAGTTTTGATCTGATTTTAATATAACTTGGCACACAAGTAGACTACACTAAGATACATAATTCTATGCATCGGTTTTTGATTTCGATGAACGGTGTTGCCATGGTTACTAAAAATAGAAATTTCTGTGAAATTGTTTCAAATGCTACTCCTCCTACAGTTTTGGTCCGATTTCAGTATAACTTTGCACACAAGTAGACTATACTAAGAAACATAATTCTGTGCATCGATTTTTATTTTGATGAGTGGCAAGGATAATTTTTCTATTTATTGCTGATTTAAAGTCTCAAGTCCCAACTGCTACTTTTCTCTTCCTGTTTTAAAGTATAAACCAGTAGAGCTACAGTCTCGACAGAGACTTCTGGTTTAGAATATTACTATAATCTACTTATGTTACGTCAAACTTGTTAATTGTTTTCCTTCTTTTGGTGATTGGGTTTAGTCAAGTTACTCATATCAATATTAAATATTAAGACTCTTTGCATTTAAAATTAATTTAAATGTATTTTTAATTACCCTTTAATGATACAAGTATTCGAAGCAATTTCGTTATGGCATTAGTAGGATTTTGTGTGCCAGTTGTCAATTATATTGCTTTTAGCGTTTTAAGACTTAATAATATTAATACTTTTAATATTCAAAGTAATTGAAATACTGTATTCCCATGGCAACCAAGGTACACAAAGCAACCAAATTTCAGTTTAAAAGGAGAAGTTTTAATAATTATTCTTATTTACTTTTTATTATTTAATCAGATCATCTTATAAATTGATAAAAACTAATTTTTGAAACTGTTGCAATTAGTTCCATTAATTTTTGGACTATAAGGATTTTTTTTCTTTTTCTGAATAGTTCCACTATTTGTATAGTAAACAACACTAATGATATCAGAAAATGACAATTATCGCTCCATTTGTGATTTTTTTTTACTTTCGTGATTAAGAAAATAATTTTTGACAGAACACTTTCTTTTCAAGTGCACGGCATTTTAAGTCTGGGCCTTATATGCACTACCTCCGTTCTTTTAAGACTGCGACTTTTATATAAAAATTATTAAGTTCAAACAATCAAAATCAAACCATTCTTAACAGGATCTTAAAAATATTTTGGTAAGCAAAACGTATGTCTAGGACTGGGATCATTTTGATAAAAAAAAAGTCATTATATCCACGAACTTGATGGACAACCAGATAACCAGACAACCAGAAAGTGCACGATGGAAATATCGGTTACGCAGCACGTAGAATGTAAATAAAACCAATGAATAAATTTAAGAGAAAGACACTGCATTTTAACTGATCTGCATTATAGTATATATGATTTTGTTTGGATAACTTTGAAATTTTCTAAAATAAAAACAAATGCGAGGTTTTCCGAAAGAGTATGTATCAGTTCAATAATAATCAAATAATCATTATATACGAAGATTTTAGATGTTTTTGATCCCATTGTAAGTACATGTAGCACTTATAATGACAAAACTAGTATATGTGCCATAATATTAATAAGATACATCTGTAATAATAAGCACTAAAGGACGAAGAATGCTAATATCATTTCTTTTTTAAAGTTAAAAAAAACACACAAGATTACATAATTATGTTTTACATAAATTTATGTTTCAAAATAATTGACAATGTACTGAATGTGGTACACAATGTATTATGCAGAAATGCATAAGGTTTAATCAAAATGATACAGAAACATCTACTTTTAAACATCACCGGTTGAATTTTAATGATTTCTGATTTAAAGTTTTGATATACTCTCGATACAATTAATATTAATCGTACTCTCCAATACAAAATATATATGCCACATAATGTTTATCAAAGTTCAGCCGGCTCTGGTAGGAGACGTTCTTCTTTGACAGCATGGACACTCTTCAGTGACCTCCTGGAAAGATCTCTACCACATAATGACAGCTGTCTCATATGAGAATTTTCCAACAATGTTCCTTTCGAGATGCAACAAGAGCAAAACAGAGACTGGAAATTTCTCCAGAAAATTGTGTTGAACGCACAATAAATAACAAAATTAATGGCTGTGTTTATAAGCAGAAACAAGTCGGTGATTTCTCGGATTGCTCGCGCTAAGAAATCCTCCTCATAATATCCAAATCCCAGGAATGTGGACATGATGGCGTCTGGAATAATGCATATGATGAAAACTATGATGACAACGATAAGCATGACTGTAATTCTGTGATTTTTTCTTCCAATACGACATTTACGAATCCCATACATAATGAATATATTAAGGACAATAAGCAAAGTAAGTGGAATGATGATTCGAATAAAATACTGGGTCCATGTAAATATAGAAGAAAATTTTGGATCCACCCACAAGTCGGTCAGGCTCAAGTCGTAACTGGTCCACGAGGTGGAATTGTTTTGGCTTTCGACCGTTTTGTATCGCAAAGCGTATGGAATGCAGGCTAGACTCATCACAATGAACACACTGAAAGATATCGTTCTGGCCCGAGACAAAGTGCAGTACGTTCGAACCCTGTGGACGTGACACACATACACGTATCTCTCTACCGCCACAGCCACGGTTAACCAGGCCGATATGCAAAGAGACGCGTTGAAAACATAATGTGCATATGGGTACAAAAATATGTACAATTTGTTTCCAAATTTTGGATCTAATTCTAAAGAAAGTACCACAATGAAATATAGTGCGTCGCAAATGATTTTAATACCGTCAGAAATCGCTAAGGCCAGAAGATACACGTTTGTAGATGACCTCATCTGTTTTTGAAGCATAACTGCTATTCCTAGGCCATTCCCGATAAGACCCAAGACACAGAATATGGGGTATAGGATGAGCCCCGTTATAAACCGAGCCTGTACATAAAATTCTTTGAAGTCGGTGGAGTTGGTGTCCTGAGACATATTATCGCCGTGTTGAAATATATGAATACCTGTAGAAGAAAGAAAAAAAACTTCCTTTAGTATGAAAATTATTTCAAAGGAAAACAACACTAAATTTTAAGGTTTTTTAAATACCAAAACAAAGCAAGGCAGATGAAGTATAATTTTAGATGCAGAAGCTTTCGACTTACCTCAATGAATGAAAGAATATGTAATATACGTATAATTACTGACTTTATATACAATCCTTGCAATACTTTCTTAGTCGATAATTAAAATTGACAAGTGTACTGGGATTTTCAATAGATTACTTGAATACATAGAGGACTTCAGTGGTTTGTAGTTGGTTACGGAACTTATTTCCCTCGTGAGACATGCTTTTTGGAAATTTTCACTCGTGGTTTGTACTAGTGATAATATCGAAGAAACCTGTACCATTTGCGATTTTTTTTGGTCACATTCAACTACAAATTATTAAATTTTTGTTTGTAACAATTCCTGTTATAATTTCCCCTTCTTTCTGTCTTTTTCGGCAAACTTTGTGACACAAATGTAGCGTCATTAAAGTTATGACGTCATGAAATACAATACATATAGCATTGCATAGATTGTGTGAGTGAGAACATTGTAAACTTAGTTTACCAGGATGTCTGTTTACACTTCTTTCTTAAGACACAACAGGGAGCATTTTTCCACAACATTCTCAGACAAAATATCGTTTTGATATTCTTTCACACTGTGGAAAAAACACTTTATAACATTACATTACATAAGAGAATGTTATTGTTGAAATTGTGATCGATATTTTTTTCGTATACAGCTCAACAAACTTTTTAAGCTCACATGGTTTTCTGCACAAATTAAGGTAACATTTTTGTAATAAAAATTATTATTTTCGAACCTCAGAACGATGACATAGCCCTACGTTGTATTACATATATAATGTCAAGCATAAATGTCCTTTAAAGTATTATCTTAAGTTTCCAAAGTGGATGTTTTAGAGAGGAATTTATCAATAAATAATACGATGTTTCTACTATAGGCCTCTACAATAAGTTTTTTACAAATGATATAAAACGTGATTTCTTTGATACAACGTAGTTGAAAATTTTTAATTTTCTTCTTAAAGGTGAGTATTTTTTAAAAATCTTTGCTCATTTACCATACTCATCTGGGTTTTGTCGAAATGTAGCACCGAAAAGGGATAACATTGCAGAGAGAAACCATACTACAGGCAAGGATAATGAAGTATTGTTTATTTTTCTAAAAGTAGATTTTTTCTATGAAAAGGAAAATTCTTCTGCATTTACGGTTTGAAACGTTAAAATTTTGCTGTGGGATGAATCTTTCATGATTCTAAATTTTTAGAAGGTGACTCTGAAAAATGCCACCTTATTGACATACAAAGCAGTCAAACAGATGAAAAATACTATTATCACCCTGAGCGAAAGAGTCAGAATGTACAGAAAATACAAGTTACAGTAGCTGTACTGTGCCCGTGTCTATGTTTCTGCAAAGAGCTACTGCTTTCAAAAGAACGGATAAAAAGACAACTGCAATTGGCAAGAAACTACAAAAAATCAAATGGAAATAATTGTTATTTTTCAGCCAAGAATATATTAAAGTTCTAGAAATTGATTTGTATGAATTATGTTTTAGTAAATGAAATAAAACTCAAATAATGTAAACAAATACTTTTAAAATGTATTTTGATGTCTCAACACACAAATTACATTATAACAATGTAACCTTAATTTGTGCGAAAAACCATGTGAGCTTAAAAAGTTTGTTGAGCTGTACTTCTTCCTTCTTCCAATCAGTGCTGTCCTTCATTATATGGTGAAATAGTGTACATTAAATGCTAATTTGCATAGCGGCCATTTTGTATTCAATACGGCCGATTTCTGCTCAATTTATGATATAAGAAATTAGAAAATATCAATTTGGAATAATTTCCTTCTCCTATGGTTCTCAATTCTCCAGTTAGAGTTATAAATAAAGTATAAAACCTGTAATATCAGAATGGAATACTGGTTTTATCCTACTTATAAAACCCCAACCGGTAGTCAGAAATATCAAGTTTTCCAGGCTTTTTTACGATTTTGATATATTACGTATCATGAAAACGTACAAATATACACTGTGGGACGTGGAGATCGGTCCTTCGGATGAAACCGTATTAACCGAGGCCCATGAGTTGCTGGTACGAAAAGGACCTCAGACTGCTCAGTGGCTCTGAGTGCAGAGTATAGAACAAAATTCGCAGCTCTCCATGCACCGGCAAGTGGTTGCGTCTTCGTATTAGTGAAAAAATTCTTGAGAGGGACGTAAAACAACATACAAATTGTCTGTTTCTTTAATGCAATGTTCAACAAAGCTGATTCTCTTTCTTACTGAAGGGATAATTCTACCCGAGGAAGGAAGCACACGTGATTTTGTTATATCTCTATAACATACACTTTATTGATTATTCTACACGAGAGATCACTCTCAATCATAGTTTTTTTTATTATTTAAAATTCGCATAGGTGGCAAAAATAGTCAGGCAATTGAATTCAATACAGGACACATTTGTTTAAATTATTTCTTTAATGACCGGAAATGGGATGGTTGCCATGGAAGAGCTATTAACCACGACGTACAGGACTTGAACAGAATGTCTCTTTAAGCTTCCTTCTGCCACCAGGATCTGATGAAATATGTAATGTTTTCTGCAGTTTTGGTATTAAAATATAGGTATTAAGCGCCACAAAAGACAATTTACCTAAGGTTATTAATCAATGAAGTGAGTTAACTTTGTAAGAATTAAGGACGACGTGCTTTCTAATGATTACCGGGGTAATTTTAATTAAAGTAAGCAGTCAATCTTATCGCCCACTAAAAGCAACTTATTATACCCGCACTTTCTAAAGAAAGGGTTCAAATGGGGGTCAAAAAAGTTTTTTTTATGCAAAAAGCCCCTTCTTCCCTGAACTCCTCCTACATTTTACATAGTAGCCTAAACATGTTTTGGGAGATGGTTGGTGGTGTCATGCAGATGTGCAGTAAGGTTTCGGAATTTTTATTTTGCCCCGAGGGTTCAAATAGGGGTCGAAAAATGACGTTTTAATGTAAAAAGCCCCTTCTTCCCTGAACTCCTCCTACATTTTACATAGTAGCCTAATCATGTTTTGGGAGATGGTTGGTGGTGTAATGTAGATGTAAAGTAAGGTTTTGGAATTTTTATTTTGCTCCGGGGGGGGGGGGGGGGGGGGGGGGTAGGGGGCAAATGGGGGTCGAAAATGACGTTTTATAAATGCAAAAAGCCCCTTCTTCCCTGAACTCCTCCTACATTTTACATAGTAGCCTAATCATGTTTTGGAAGATGGTTGGTGGTGTCATGTAGATGTGCAGTAAGGTTTCGGAATTTTCATTTTGCCTCTGGGGTCAAATGGGGGTCGAAAAATGACGTGTTTTTTTTTAAATACCAAGAGCCTCTTCCCTGAACTTTTCCTAAATTTTCCACAGTAGCCTAATCATCTTTTGGGTGATGGTTGATAGTGTCATGTAGATGTGCAGTAAGGTTTCATAATTTTAAGTTTCCCTCGGGGGTCAATTAAGGTTTAAAAAAATGACGTTTTTATGTATAAAGTCCCTTGTTCCTTGGACTCCTTCTACATTTTACACAGTGGCCTAATCATCTTTTGGGATATTTAAATTTTTTGAAAATTAGGTAAAACATCAACATCAAGGGGTAAAAATTCATAGCATGCTCGGAAATATCTTGTTAAGAGTGATGTGCATGTCAAATGTGAAAGTCATATCTCTTCTCAATCAGAAGTTATAAGGAAATGCAACATTGTCCAAAAGTAGGTTAAGCCTCAAGGTCAACGTCAAAAGTCATGATACATTAGGAAAGGTCTTATCACAGGTAATATACATGCAAGTATAATATGAATGCCCTAATTTTTCTCTTTCAAAATGATGAATTTAAAACAATTTAATTTTTTTTTTTGAAAGTAGGTCAAACTTCAAGATCACGGGTAAAAAAAAATCATGGTATATTTAGAATGGTATTGTCACAGGTAAATACTTATACTAATACACATGTTCAATATGAAAGTCTTGTCTCTTCTCATTCAAAAGATATGACCATGATGACCAAGGTTAAATTTATTGTGACAGATGGACAGACTGACACACAAATGCGATTTAATGATAATAAATGTCCTTGCTTTTCGTGAGAAGATTTACGATGGAAAAAGTCCCTCCATATTTCGTGAATTGGTTAAAATTGGCCCAGTGGTTCCAGATTGATTGATTGTATATTGTTTAACGTCCCTCTCGAGAATTTTTCACTCGTATGTCCTACACTCGGCACTAAGGGCCATTGAGCAGGGAGGGATCTCTTTTTCGTGCCAGCACCTACTGCGACATGGGACCTCGGTTTATACGGTCTCATCCGAATGACCGGTATCCACGTGTCACAGTGGGATTCGAAGCCGCGACGTAAGGATTGACTCCTTACTTCGCGACTCTATAGCAGACGCTCTAACCACTGCGCCACGCGGGCGACCAGTGGTTCCAGAGAAGAAGTTAAAAATGTAAAAAGTTTGCAGACAAACAGATGGACGACAGACGAAATGTGATCACGAAAACCGGAAAAATGAGCTAAAACCGTATGATTCACAAATACATGTATATGGAAAGGGTTACAGTATTTGAAAAGTGGGGTTTTTATCATGCATTTTTTTTGACAAGCTGAAAATGTATGACATGTATCCATTGTTGAAAAAACTGCACATTTCAGAAAAGAGTATGATTGAAAATAGTTAATCAAGGTGCTTTGAGTAGCAAAATAAAGCTAAACTTTTATAGCTAATTCAACCACAGAACTAAGTCAATTCTAAGATGCAAAACCTTTTCAGCTCTTATTATAATTATTTTTAAAATATTTATATCATCATACCTGATTCAAAGGGAGAAGAAGAGATATGACCAGAAGTATATCCGTTGAATAAAAACATGTACATGTATACTTTTATGGGGTTTTTTTTTTTGAGTAATTTGT